ACAGGTAAACGAACCACTGTCTCGTTGTGAGTAACACTCGGATCGCTTCCGGGTGCTTCTACCTTTCACAGTGGGTAAAGTGCTTGGGAATCAATTCCCTTTGTAGGGGATTTTATTCTTTCAGGTTAGGTCCGGGCATTAGGGCCATGGAGCTGGATATCTTTTGCATTACGTTGCTTGGACTCCTTATAGCCACCAGATAAGCGTATCACATTAGGGATTAGATTCGCCACGGAAATCTAAGTGCGACCGGAAGAAAAACAATTTGCCTTTCCGGCAAAATCTATTTTATGCAGGTGGCCAAAAACATGTTTTTCGATCTGATCATCGGAAAGCAAATTTTTTTATCCATACAGTAATCAAGGATAAAAAGGGCGCAGACCTATGGATCAACACGGATGCATACGCAAAAATAATAAAAATATTTTTCAAAAATATCAAAAACAGCCTTTTGTCTTTTTTTTGCTAGCACAGTCTTGGCTGTTCATTCCACAACACACTGACTGCCTGGAAAATGTTTTATAAAAGGAAGTGAAACGACTGTTATCACAGCAGTATGTTCGGGGCAGCAATATATTTTTTAGTAACATTTCTGCTTGCTATTTTTATCAAAATTTCTTCCCAGCAAGGTACGGTACGAAAAATCTCATGATTTTTAATTAGAAATTCACAGATATCTCCTGTTTAACATGCGTTCGATTTTAACCATCATCCTACTACTGCGACGTAATTCTTGCGCGATTGCACTTGCCCAGAATATAACCGGTCTGAGATTAGTTTTAGCCCTCCTAATAAAGATATTAATGGTGATAGATATAATAAATATATATATTAAAAAGTATTCCGATGACCAGGAATATTTTCATTCACGGAGTCTTTCATATTTTGCAAGCCATAAGGACTCGCTGATGGTACAAATATTTGTCATTTTCAGTCTCCTAGCACTCCATATGGAAGGTGCAATTCTACTGCCTTTCCAAGAAACAAAAGATTTGGAACTGTCAAAGATGCCTCCTATTCTCGGCGAAAACTTATGTCTCCCCCCAGTACACTGTTCGCATTATTTTCAAGGTTCCTTCAAAAAATCAAATGTTTTCAGGTCGAAAAGCTGCTACTCTTAAACAAATAATATTAATGTTCTATTTTTTAAAGTTTTTGGAGTCTATTTTTAAGGTTTTTGAGGTTTCAGGTCTGCCATGCAAAGGCGACGAGGACTGTGGCGTATTTGATGTCTGTGTTCTAGACATATGCATTGCAAATCATCAAGGTATGTTCGCTTTTGTCCGACTGCATCCGCTAATTGATTCTGGAGAGGAAGCAAGAAAAGTGTATATAAAAATTTTGGACATTTTTTGCCAATGTTTCTCATCAAGCCTGCCTAAACATTTCTACAGAAATTCTCATGAATAGCAGATTGAAAGAATTATGGCTGCAAATGCAGATTCCATTTTAGGTCTGAAGCAAAACTGCTATATCTGGATCTTTAACTATGCAACTGGCCACTTTTCTCGTTGCCTTGTCCAATGCTGACTGTGTTTTTCGTTTTTTGCCCTGAACGGATTAGGCCTGAGATTTCAAAAAAACTTGGCAAGGCTTTGACCTTTTAGAAATATCATTTAAGTGGGCATCACAACGATATTTCAAGGTTGTCTCTCTTCTAAACTGCGACGAGGTATCTAACTTCGACCATGAAATAAATTACAGACGATCTAAACAAATGTCATATTTAAGGCTGCCCGAACAATACATGCTCTACGAACGAAGTCTGCATCGACGGTCAGTGCTACGAAATGCCAATTCCAAGGGGTAAGCCTTTCCCGGTAAATTCAAAGACCGCTCAGGCATCAGTACGGCGTTCCATGTTAGTGTTGTTACTGAGAAGCTCCCCATACGTCAAGTGCAACTATTCTCATGCTGAGATATTTTTTTGACCTGGTATTATCAGCAGAACATTTATCCAACACAATATAACAAAACAAATAAAAATCCACAATACCAGGCGATGACGTCGACGAAAGATCTGCCATGCTAGTCCTGCAACAACGGCTTCCAATGACAACGCCGTTTCGCCATTCAGTACCGTTCTTATGTATGCAAATCACTCACTGGGCACTCTGCTCATTTAGCAGCACACTTCTGTGCATAGCAAAGAATACGATATTAAAGAATTGCAAAACACATTATCATTATTTTGCAACATGCAACATTCTGTTTAGAATGTCGACTGGATAACCATGAAGATTGCGAAGTATTCGAGTACTGCTTTGATGGCGAATGTGTACCGGATCATCAAGGTTGTCCACTTCTTCTACCATTTCTGTTGATCGACTTTAAGTATGTTCTCACTGGGCAGTTGATAAAGATGCAGCATTTTCCAGTACTGAACCAACAGACACAAAAGTTGACAGATGAATTTTTTTGCATACAATAGGATCTAGAAGGCGTAAGGCTGCTGGGAATCGACTGAGGAACTGTGATTTTGATGAAGTAGAAAATAATCAACACTATTTTGCAGCTAACTATATCGCAGATGGAAATATAGAGACGTAACTCGAAATCTTCTAGAAACTTCACGCATAGCAAGTGGAAGGACGGAAGGGGACAAACATGGGAAGGGGAGGGGAAAAGTTCTAGCACTAGTAGAAGCAAATTAGACTATTTTCATAAACAGCTATCCTAAACTTTCCTCTTGAAAATCACTCAAACAATGTAACAGGTTACTTAGAACACCGAAATCGCCTGAGTGAGCGAATCAAATCCGGCACCAGCTTGCTTATAAGCTAACTGCTAGGGAGGGAGAGAAGGCGATAGAGTTATCGGCACCTTTTGGTTGCTGTTGGCATTTACTGTCACTCGGGCTACTGCTTCGCTTCTCTCGGAGAACGAGTACAGAGAGAGTTTTGACTTTGGCCGATATCACCAGTATAATCATTGCGAATATCCAATATTGCCCATGTGCCTGAAATACTTCCACGTCTGAGCGTAACATTGCCGGGTTATCCTGCCCGTCTTCACGACGACGCTACTTGGAAAAAGTCGGGTCAGCATTCGATGTTTTCGCTAAGTTTGAAGCCTATCCAAGTACTTCTGTTCCTTGCCAAAACTTGAACCAGAAGAACGTCTTAGTCGAAATAGCCGCATTGTCTTAAGAGAGGAAAAGCAGGTTTGTTTTGCGTTCTTATGGGGACTTCTACCCTCAGTTCTCCTCTTCTTCGCCCGTTTTCATCTTGCGGCTCCCCTTTGCGCTTCTAACAGTCCCAGCAGTTTCCTGGACAAGAAATAGAGGGAGAAATCTATGAGAGGAATTACAGTGGTCAGAGCCTTGTGAAATTGCCGCCAAAGCTCAGGTTATTTGCGTACATTTTTCTTTTAAGATTGCCCGAATGGTACATGCCCAGAAGATCAGGTGTGTGTAAACAAGAAATGCGAAGTGCATCCAGACACTACGCAGGCCCCTCCGAAAATTACTCAAGTAACGATAGCGGCACAGCCCTGCAAGGTTGGATGGATTCATAAACCAAGCCAAAAATCGTGCTATATGGTGGTATGTTATCGCTTTCAAATCTTTGAACAAGCATTTTGTGAATTGAATCTGCTAAGTCCCACAGACGACTTCATTTCTCTTTCATGTTTTTCTTTCCTATTTTAGTTCTAGTTCATCTGCAGCTTCATTTGCTTCTGTGCCGTGCAGCAGGTTCTCATCTGTGCTAATATACAGTGCAGCACAGACTAATTTCCGAAAAAAACTGCAAATCCAAAATTTTAGTTATTTGGCGATAAAACACAGCTAGACCCCACGTGCAAAACAAGACTGAAATAGTGTATTTCGCAAACCAAAGTTAAAGTAATGTACTGCTAAACCAGAACTGAATTAGCATATTGGACACCAGGAGTGAAGCAGCCGAGTATATTTAATCATCCTAATTCACACTACGATCTCTTATAGAACTGTAGAGGAACTTTTAGAATTACGAAAAGCTTTAAGCTACCAAATTAAGAATCCTTGTCAAAACAATGAATCATTAAAAAAAAACAAAAAGGCTGTTAGAGTAAAGCAGAAATCTTGATCCACTAAAAGTAACATAAAACTTTTATAAGGATTCAAAACAAAAATTAATCTGAAGTTCGTTTTGTCTTTTCGACACATGCCAATCTTTTTAAAAGTATTTTGACAAGGTAAAAGTCCAAACTTTCCCTCTCTTTCCCTCCATATCACGTAAGAGAGGCAACTGTTCAGAATTAGCTGGAATAGTAGTATATTTCAACAATAACTAACTGTAGGTCCCTCAATGGCTCATTTTGTTGTCAATTTATTACAAATAAGCCTTTTAGCAACACAGACGAATGGAGAGCAAACTATCAAGTTAATAATGGTAGCTTACAGAAAAAGGGATCGCACAGCTTTCACGAAGCAAGATCAGAATGCTTAGCGTTGAATGCGCAGTTAGCGACTATTCGAAATGGGGTTGAAATGCATGAAGTTAATGGTAAGTCCACGTTAATCCATTTTCAGCAAAGGATTTTACTTTGTTATGTATTTAACGCTGCAACAATGATACAAAAAGTATTTCGTCGAGACTCTGCTTGCGTGTGTGTACGGAATTTTCTCTGGGAGCTCTTAACAACCGGAAAAGCTAATAAGTTTCCTCCTGCAACTCTGTAAATTTAAATTCAGCTGAGGTACTGTGTGCGGATAAGTGAAACTTTCGTCTGGAAATTTTCCATTTCGGGAGCCATGCAAGATAAAGAAGTGAAATGAGCAACACAGGAAATTCAAATTAAGTTTCCTTGCATCACTGGTGGACACGTAAAATTTGGCGCAGTAATATTCTGTTTCGAGGGCCAGGCATGACAGAAAGATGAAATTTTAGGGTAATGTTTCCTGTCTCATAAATTGCTTTCCCATAAATTTAAACCTGCTTTCGAGTAAACGAATTTCTCATACATGGATTGAAATTTCAAGCGCGAATTTGCCGGCAAATATCTGGAAGGAGTCGCAGTTTGTTTATTTCT